GGACGGAAGTCTGCTGATGTGCGTCGACGGCAGGAAGCTGAAGCCAGTAACGAAGAAGGATGCTTCTCCACCACCCCATGTAAACAATTTGTTAGACCTTGACGCCCAGGTGACCCTTGTCACCGACAGGAGAAAACATTGTCTAGTACACCCAGGTGGCATTCCTGTCTACGATAGGGATATTCAAGAGTATTGCACCAATCTGACGTTAGTGTTAGAGGATCTACAGCACGCAGGTTCGACCCAGAAAGCAAAGAAACGTCTATGTTTGTAATGCTCAGACAAATCATTCCTCGTGTCACATTGCCTCATCAAACGAGTTTAGTGTAAACGGAACCCGACGATGGTGGTGTTGGTGTCGGTGCCTGCGAGAGAGCAATCATATAAAATTCATCTTCTTCTTCGATGATGCCGCCTCAGCTGAACACCTGTCTCGTACTCCTTTTCTTCGCCTTCAGTGTCTCGATCCCCTCAATGTCTACGATAATCATGGTGACCTGAACGACTACCTACGCACCGGAGGTGACTGAAAAACAGAATAATAAGTTGATTAAAAGGTTCTAGCAACACGGTTTATTTGTACTCTCGATTCATATCTTAAGAGTTGTGACTATTCTACTGAGGCTGCAACACATTTCGTGGAAGATTGGCATATATTGGAATAATAATGGAGTAATTCCACTGATTCAACTGCAGGTTCTGTTTAGCACCATCACGTTCCACACTACTTACAGAGGCATATACATGACCTTGTTTCTTTCCACTATTAGCTTACGCACACGCCATATGGTTAAGACGCCACTAAATGCTGCGATTTTCGAGGCCACGATTCACTCAATGTAGCACCGACACAATCATAAACAAAGTGAAAGATGACTCCTTAGTGTGGGAACGATACCGGTTATCATACTTCGGTAGCATAGCAAGATGCTTGGAAAGAAAGCATGAATTAATTTTTAGAAGGCAACGCAACAAAAATCTTGACCCAAAATAAATACGGAACAGATCTCCGTGATGTTAACAACACAACATCAAACCTAAGGAAACACCTGCCAGACCGACGTCACCGGTCTCGGCGGCATCTACGCTGTCCACACTCATCACGGCGATGATTAAGGCGGTGCCGAGAGGAGGAGGTGGAGCAAAAGTGCTTCGAGTCTCGACGTTGCCTGTGTTCGCAGCGTCGCAACTATAAGGTACAGAAACTGACATTCAAACAGTTGGTACAGTTAGGAGGCAAAAGGATGACTCAATGAACCCTGTCATCGAGTTCAAACGGGACCAATTTTGGTAGTTTAATCAGCATTATCATGAATTCCTCACAATTCTTTTATTCTTCGAAGAGGCAGTTTATTTTCCTTTTGAAGAATATAGCCGTTAATGGGACCAACCATAATCATCGTTTGCAAAAGAGACCAGTCCTTTAGGTAACCATCATCAAATCCCAAACTCCACATCGAAAAATCGTTAAACCTTTCGTACTGAGGATTTGTACTTTACCAAAACTTTTCGTCTTTTTCTTGGTTTATTTCATCGCAAACTTCGCCGTATCAGGTGCAGAAATGCCTTCCTCGAGAGTTTTCTGGAGATATTTATAACAGCAGACAATGAATCTATTAAGCTATGATAAAACCACCTTTTGCGAAGAGTGGCCCTGATTGTTTCTATATTGGTGTCAAGAGTTAGATGCTCATGGACAATGTTTGAATGCTCAAGCAATAGCCTTACAAAATCGGAGGCGTCTTCACCTTCATAAACGCCAGTCAATGCATTTTCAGCAGGATTAACCCGATTACGTCCTTAGGTAGGCTTTTTGCTAGAGGTGATCGGACTGCATTTCCTCCGGAAACGCCATCCAAAGCCATCCCTATAAGTCTGAAAATGCAAAATGTAATTCATCGCCAGTACAATCATAAGACCCATTTATAAACACGTCTAGTACAAAGTATTCGTGGCATAACAAAACAATGCACTAAATTTTGCAAATACATAAATGCACAAAGAATAGCTACAAAGTACAGCCATGTTACAAACCTGCAAACAGAGCACACTCCACAACTGTTTTTTACAACAGTCTAGCTAATACTAATTTAAAACAATATTTGTGCCCCACCCACTCGATCGCTTCTAATCAGGTTTTTAGATAGAAGCGCAAGGAACGGGTTTCATTTGATGACTTTGACCTAGCTTAGCTCATTTCATTGGAATGTCAATGAATGTAATGTGGACGTACGACTTGCGTTCAAGTAAATTACCTGAGATCTACCTTTGAACGATTGACAGCTCTTTTCGATAACATTGGTCAAGCTTAGCTCATTTGAAGAAAGTTTTGATGGATGCGGTGTGGACCCGAGATTTGCTTTCGACTAAATTACTTGTGTTTTCCGTAGTTCTGGATGCGAATTTGACATTCGCCTTTGGATAATATTCTCTGGTGAAACTTTCATGACAATCGGTCTATATTCTTCGCTG